TTCTCTATCTGTTTGCTCACGTGGATAACAGTTCAAGTAGGTTTTGCCCACGTGGAGAAAACTGTTTGCACACATGGATAATAGTTCAAGGAGGTCATTCAGACCTTATTTCCCATCTGTCGTCCACGTGCAGAAAATGTAAAATGAGAAATGTTGGGATTGTTGTGGGCATAAAATATATAAAAGCTAATTCTCTTTTCGAGAAAAAATCATATCCCAAAAAGATCTTGAATTAACTTAAATATCGAAAGGATCGGATCGAGAAACTTTTTTTTGGCATCGATCTTAGTGCAAGCGACACCTCGGATGCTTGACCCTCACCTCGAAGCCGCTCAGGAAACTCTTGCGCTTTCGAGTTTAAACAATGTCAGGTTGACTCGAACATCAACGACGATTTTTCTTAATATTTTGACGCTAGAAAGAGAGTCGAATGTTGCAAGAACGTTTACCCACCAATTCTCTCAACGAGTGTTCTAGCGAGGAGGTTTTACTTTCAACTCATAATAGTTTTACTTGGGGGGGGGGGAGGGTACAATTACCCTCATTTCCACATGTGGATATGTTCACTTCAGCACAAACGCGGGCAAGCTACTGGCATCTGTTCAATGACCCAGGCTTATCATCCTTGGAGATGAATTCGGGCCACCTGCTTGTCCTTACCGAGGTATTTCTGAACCTCACCCATTATGTGCAATGCTTATGGGCATGATACTGGTTATCACTTTGCTCCTGCTTCAACTACCCCAACAAGCGACGCCAATATCTCAGTCATAGTTGACACATCAACCGCCACTAGCATCGGCACTCGTCAAAATCCCTCAAATCAACATGATGTCAATATTTGTGGATCGCCCAAGGTCTACAGAACTGCCTACCAAAGGAGCACCCCACTCCCCAACCGTGGAGTAAAGTGCATCGCCACACCATTGCTCTGCTCCACCTGAATCTGAAACATAATCAGTAGATTCAATGGATGACTCCCTGAGAGTCTAACTACAATAAATGAACAAACACTTAAATGAGATGCGATGGGTGTACCAATAGTCTAGGGGGAGAATCTGGTCGATCCTAACTTGGGTCGGTCCCCATTCACTTAAAACATCTAAGAGGAACCAATCCCGATCAACTTTTACCTCTCATCGCTAGAAGCTTTTGACGATAGTACCAACTAGGTTGAACACATTGTCACCTTCCATGCCCAAATATCTCTTTACGACACCTTGGATGCTATAATGCGTCATACGTCCTCGACAATACTAAGAGGTCTGACACAGGAGTAGTATACTCACTTGAAGCCACTCTCAGTCGATTTCTTTGCTCAGCTCGCAAAGGAGTTTAAACTCTGTTTCCTTAGAAATATATGCCCAAGGCTATCGATGACGATGTTGGTCGGACTCAAACAAGGGGAGAAAGAGACACTCTCTGATTTCATTATTTAATTCACTAAGAAAATTTAAGACGCCCATTAGTCACTCGTGATTCAAGCCATCATGATGGGCTCAAGCCCTCTTGCCTTTTCTAGTAATTGATAGAGAGGTCATCGACCACGATACCCGAGGTCCGATCAATGAAACCAAGGTAACAACAGGATGATAATGTTATTATATCCTATTATAAAGCTAAACAGACATTTAAATCATCTAAACGTGTTTATGTTACGTAATCTTCACCCAACCTATTCAGCTCTTTCCTTCCACGCCAACGTTTGCTGCTGCTCCTCTTATATGATGATGATGATGATGATGATGATGATGGATTTGGTGTTTGTCGTTTGTTTCTCTAATCCAACCCCACCTTAAAATAACCATCACTAACTTTGCGTGTTCGTACATTAAGTAATCTCTTTCTTTCCATTGATCGGAAGGTTAATTAAGAGAGCCTAATCTCCGAGCTGGTAAATTATTCGGGTTAAGAAGAGTTACCTCAAAAGAGACGTCCCCCACGTGCTCGAGTCCTCTCCCCAATAAAAGAAAGACCGGCGTGGGACCCGCAACCCGACCGATCACCGTCGCACGTGCCGGTAGCGGAGAGCAGGGGAGCGTCTCCGCCCTCGTCGCCCTCCGTCCGCGGTGGCCACGCACGTGCGATTCCCTCTCTTTCCCATCTTTTCTTACCCCATCCCCATCACGGCCTCTCCGCCGGGCGATCTGGATCATGATCGAGAAACGCCATCCAAACCGTCCATGAAACACCAGCAAAAAGAAGGTGTGTGTATACGTAGTGCTTAGAATACCTTAATTATCACCTTTTTTTTTTTTGGTAAGTACCTTAATTATCACCTTCTTCGTTGCTTACGGGTATAAAAGAAGATAAGATTATGAATAATGATAAGATTGAAACAAAAGCGATCATCATGAAATTATTATGATCACGATGAGACAATCAGATCTTATGACAAGATTATTATGATCACGATGAGACGAAAACGATGAATAGTATTTAGAATATTAAAAAAATAAAAATATCAAATGAAAACTAAATATGTATAATAATATCATCCCAAAAATATCTAATAAAATTTAAAAAAATAATAAATTCGTGTTAAATTTAGAGAACAAATAATAAGTTATTTTTCCACTAAAATGAGGAATTTAGTATTGCAAAGACAACAAAAAGGGAATGCTCATTAAATTATCAAAAATAGTTTTATCATAAATAGGTGATTAATAATTCAATCAAATATATGCTATGGAATAACTCGTACCAAAATAATTATTTCATGAATTATTCATTTACTTTGTTAGTAATAAATAGGAGAAAATAAATTATAATACTTAAATAACTTAATCAAATTATTATGACGATAATCCAAACAAAAAACTTAACTATAAGCACTAATAGTGATAGATAAATCTCAAGTTTTGCCTATACAAATGTTGTCAATAAAATTTGTGAGTTAAAATGCTTGAATTCTAATATTTTGTCGATTCAAATAAAATTTAAAGCAAACATTATAATTGTTGCTATAAGGTAAGAAGAAATCATCCTAAATGCCACCAAACTACATAGCCAGCCATGTGGAAGGTTTGATGTCTTTGGTGACTTGTTTTGATGGGACCTTCGCCTGACCTTTCACCTACTTGCCTAAGCTTTCGATCACCATCATCTTCTCTACTACTTTTAATCTCCCAACTCATCTCCACAATTCATGAAATATAGGACCCAATTGGGATGTGTTTTGTGACCACAATACATTGATTTTTTGGGATTTTACATATTTATGCTGACACATGAGTATCGCCCACGTGGACCTAAACAAGTAGACACAACGATGCAGACGTGAAACTTCAAGTCCGATGTGATGCGTAGCACACACATGATGGGCAACTGCTCGTCGCCTCCTACGAATGACATTATCACGGTACAATTGTCCCGGAAAGCTTGGGACGACGTCACGCGATGCTAATCCGTATAGGACGGTCGGCGCTCGTACAAAAGTTTAAGCCGACCACAGTTAATTGACTGCGTATGGTCAACTCATCCTCGTAGGTATAAAAGCTAACCCTCCTTGATCATGAGAGGGAGAGACTCAACTTCCATTAACTTCACAACACTGACTTGAACTTCGGAGGGGTCGAGTTGGGAAATCTCCCTCCCGACCTCGACTTATGTGTAGGAACTGATAACGAAGCAGCAGTAACCTGCCGAGGGAGAACCACACTCGGGAGACGACGCTTGGACCTAACCCGACCCGACGTCGACGAGACTTGAGCCTCCGCATGGGCAACCTTACACATTTGGACCGGACCGAACCGTGTTGACACCTCGGCCACGGCGTAAAGGTTCACCAACAACACCAATTGACGGTTAATCATAATAAATCTGAAAGTCTTTTGAATTTTGCAGGGATATGTTTGCTTAATTACATTTTGATTAACGAAGATCGTAATAATTTTTACCTGAGGAATGAAATTACATGCCCAAAAAAAAAGCTACTGAGGTTGAGAATACAAACGTACGCACGTGCGACCACGAGAAATAGATACAGATTCCGAACGATAGTTGGATTGTTGAGGGATTTATTCGCTGGAAATGGACCACTATGATGAATGAAAGAGGGAAAAGAAGAGAGAGAGAGAGAGAGAGAGAGAGATAAAGATATGTGGTACAAAAGGAGGATTAGGTAGTACTACTGGATATGTCTAAGCATTATTGGATAAGGTAGCACACCTTTGAGGTGACTTGACTTAGAGCAGAAATAAATATATGATCACCATGGTGGTGTCTTCTTCGTGTCCTGCAGATGATCTCTTATTTCTCAGAATTGGATTGGAGACAGTGGCTTCAGTCTCATAATTAACTGAGACTAATATGTGCAGAGCAAACACAGTGGATGCTGAATCTATCGGATGAACCTCCAGTTTTGACCTGCATGGTTACTTACAGAGAAGAAGAGGAAAAGGTCAAGGGTGCCAATGGATGATCACACTACCTTACCTGTGCCATCATCAACTTTGATGGCAACTGGATTGAACTGGGAATCTACAAATGTGGGGGTTGCCCTGCCCATTTCTAGTGTGCAAATTGCCCTAATGAAGTGCATCCAATCATTGAGAGAGGAGGAGGACCCATTGTGCATCATCACCACCATGCATTCCTTCTTTGCAATCACTACCGCTCACAGTTTGACTTGCCAAGTTGCTTAGTCTACTCCATCAATCCTCTTTGAGCTTTATTTTACTTTCCAGTTTCAGGAACAGGAAATGACGCAGGAGATACCAGCTCACCGTCTTGGTACAGTGACTGTGCCCCCCTCCGCAGCTAATCACCTCTTACTTTTGGTCTCTTCTTCGCCGAGATAAATCACTGGGTCAAACCGAGCACTAGTGACCATTCAAAGTGACCATGCGTGGTAAGCAAGAGTAGAACAAAGACACCATCGATGACCGGAAAACCAGTGAGGTTTGGGAGTCGTAAATGGCATCAGTGAAACAGAGATGACAGGTTTGTCAATTCCTGCTCCTGTCCCGCTTCATTACTCCGCACCCGCCCACCTGAAAAGAAGAGAGGCGAGTGATGACGACAGGGGGGGCTCTCTGTCACAAGGGGAATCTGACCAATCTACTTGCAATAAAGAAAAGCGTACTCTCCTCGTGAGCAATCTCAGACTGCTCTGTCCAAAAGAGAGAGAGAGAGAAGAGAGAAGAGAGAGAGACAGAGAAGAGAACAAATTTCGCCTCTTTTTCTCCCTTCGTTACGCGACATCAGCCGATTAACCCAAATCTCTTTCCGCTGCGAAGCAAAAGTGGGATCTTGAGTGATAATATAGGGGCAAAGTAGCGGAACCAGAGAGACCAAGAGGAAAAGATCGAGTTTTGAGGAGGGGGCGGAGGAGAGGTGGGAAACATGACGTCGGGAGGAGGGCGGCAGCCGACGTGGAAAGAGAGGGAGAACAACAAGCGGAGGGAGCGGCGGCGTCGGGCGATCGCCGCGAAGATCTTCACCGGGCTTCGGGCGATGGGGAACTACAAGCTCCCGAAGCACTGCGACAACAACGAGGTCCTCAAGGCCCTCTGCCGCGAGGCCGGCTGGATCGTCGAGGAGGACGGCACCACCTACCGAAAGGTCTCGCCTTTCTCTTCTCTCCCTCTTCATCTTTGCAACTGTTCTCCATTTTTGCCTCATAATATCTTTCGTTTTGGAGAGATCGGAGGTGGCTGCACCAAGTTGTGATTTTGATGATAGATCTCCTGTTGTTTTGATGATAGATCTTTATCTTTCGGATCCTTTTCACTATTTTGCTGCTTTTATTGGATCATTGCTAGCTTTCTTTTGAGATAAAGTACCGTCCTTCGAGTTTTTTGGGTTCTACTGTTGATGATTTTGGTATGAGATCTGAGTATTTTGTTTATGCTAATTGATCCTTTTTTTTTTTATTAACTTGCAGTCTTCTTCTGTTCCAGTAGATGATAGATCCTTCAGCTGTATTCCCCTTCTGTATGTCTGCTTGATGTGGACGACCAAATGGACTGTTTCAAGCAATAAAATCTTAGGTTATTTGACCTCCTCCTCTGTCTTTCACTCTTTCGACTTCGATTCCATGCGCTTGTTCTAACACAACTTTGTGTCTTTGGTTAGTCTTTCTCATGTGTATGGTCCTGTTGTCTTGATGATTTGTTGCCCCTTCAATACTGTGATCCTTACTTTTGTTCTGTTCTATCCTTGAAAGCTTCATCTTCTTTTTCTATTAAAGGATAAAGATCCACTTTGGCGTCTGTTTTTCTTTAGATTGAGTTAATTTACATGCAATCTTATCTGCATTCTGGCATTTTATCCAAGATTGCTCTCAACTCATGTCCTTATATTGTTGCTTTCCTCTTGATCCATTTCATGTGAATTACTCAGTTTGAAGTTGGTTTCTGCTGCTTCTCATTCCCTCATCCCCTTTCAAGGGGGAAATCAGTGTAAACATTCTCCTACTTGCATGAATCTGCAATGGATGATTAAGTTATTATCTAACTGATAGTTGATTAGTTCGGAATAAAAAGTAGAAGATGATCGGGTATTCACTATCCGAAAACCACCAATTTCGATACCGATAATTTCTTCTTGAAGCTCTCTTCTTTTAGCATTATAATGCATTAATCGAAAACCACCAATTTCGATACCGATAATTTCTTCTTGAAGCTCTCTTCTTTGAGCATTATAATGCATTAATACTACTTTGGTGATTGAATTATTGACAGGGTTGCAAGCCTCCCCCACCACCTCCGGAATCTGCCATGGGAGGGCCATCTGCAGGCATAAGCCCATGCCCCTCGTCCCACCAACTGAGCCCACTCTCCTCGGCATTCACCAGTCCTGTCCCTTCCTACCATGCAAGTCCGTCGTCGTCGTCTTTTCCAAGCCCCAGCCGTCTTGATAACGCCAACAACCCCAGCATGAACCCTTCTTGCCTCCTCCCCTTCCTCCGAAACCTCACCACCCTTCCCCCGCTTCGCATCTCTAACAGTGCCCCTGTGACCCCACCCCTCTCATCGCCTACTGCTTCCAGCCCACCAAAGATCAAGGCTCCAGACTGGGATCAGAATTCGTTCCGCCACACTCTATTTGCAGCATCTGCCCCTGCTAGCCCCACCAGAGGCCGCCACCATGCGCATCCTGCAACAATACCTGAATGCGACGAGTCTGATGCTTCAACTGTTGATTCTGGCCGGTGGGTCAATTTCCAGATGACAGCACCAGGGTCCCCAACTTTCAACCTTGTCAACCCTGTTGCTGCAATGCCGGTGACCGCAGCAGGTGCCATAGGAGGAGGAGTGCCTGAGAAGGGCCGAGGAGGCATGGAGTTTGACTTCGAGAGTGGGAGGGTGAAGCCATGGGAGGGAGAGAGGATTCATGATGTTGGAGTGGATGATCTTGAACTCACTTTGGGAGTCGGGAGCACAACATCAAAGTGAAAGATATCGAGCCCTCATTACTTCATGAATTGCTTTGCCAATTTGATTTGATGCTCAGGTCTTCGCTGTCCAACTCTCGGTCATTCTGTGGTTTGGTTCTGTTGCCCTCACCTTTTTGTTTTGGCGTTCGGTAACCTGTTTGTGCATGCATTACAGATTCTTTCATTACCTTTGGGGTAGGCTAAATTGTTATGTGACTGCTAGTTTGATGGCAATTTCTCATCAGTATATTTTAGGGCCACAGTGGAATCTAGTATTGCTTGCTAAGTGAATTCTAACATCTTGCGAGAAGTTGCCACTTCTGGTCCCTGATCATTTAATCCTGACCAGGATGTTTAAGTATGTTTACTTGAAGAGATACTGCAAGTTTTGTTGTATATAGGTGTTAAATTATTTTTGGATTCCCAGGTAGAGAAGCAGAAAAAAATTCATGTGGAATGATCTCAACCATTACAGTAAAATTATTCTTATTCTTGGTGGACACATCTCATTAAATACTCGATGATGAACTCTTAATTATGTCGGTATGACACTTCTTTGCAAGCTGTTTTCAGCTCAGTTCGATCTGGTTGATCATGCATCTAGCTTGGAAGTAGTCAAATGCATTAAAATGTGAGGGTGGATCATCCTTATTCTAATTTAAGCAGCTCTATGAAGATCTTTAGAAAATAGAAACAGGTGAGTTGTGAGGATTCTTTGCTGTGTATCAATTTTATTATGTCTGCATGTATTTTTCCTTTGTGGCATTACAAGTCTGATGATTTTTTCATTCATTTTACAGTTGTGGAATTATTTCTGCTCTGCCTCTGACCACAATCTTTTTGCAATTTTGTAAACCTGGAAACTTCAATGGGATACTTCCATCAACAACAATGATACATGTTGAACTACCATTCATTTCTTGTTTTCATATAGAAATTAAATCTACCCAGCTTGATTACAATCTTTGCAAGCTGGTTTTTGGAAACCTGTTTGAATCTTTGCAAGTGTTAATTGGAGCTCAGGATGCAATAATTACTTTGTGGTTCTAAACCAAACATGAAACCAGCTTGGTACAAAGAATGTATTGTTGGGTCCAAAGACAGCATGAGGGCTCCTCTCCATGTGATGTGTATTGAGGTATGGTATGTATAGCTGCTGGCCTTCACCACATTGTGCTGCTGTCTACCAAACACTGCAGAAGCATAATTGAAGACCCACATCAATTTTGAAAGGCTGGAGATTTAGCAATGGAGGTTGAAGGCATGACATTTGCATTTCAATCTGAGTTCTGAATTGGTGGTTGCACTTCATCAGCATGTAGATCAATCTGTTGTCACCTTGAAATATCCAAACAAATTTGATATGAAAGCATAATAAGAACAATGAAAAAGCTTAATATCTAGTGAGATGGGCACATAAATTGTTATAGGACTGTTCTAGCATTTTTTGTACCACAAGAATTGAAAGTTAAACCCTTGCCAATCTACTTGAGTTTATCTTTTTGAGTAACAATGAATTAATAATCCCTCTATGCGGAAAAAGTGGTAGCTCCCAAATGAATTTAAACCGTGAGTTTATCCACGCTTGAAGTATTCGTTCTACTCGCGTAATTCTCCTTCTATGTGGAAAAAGTGGTAGCTATCAAATGAATTTAAACCGTTAGTTTATCCACGCTTGAAGTATTCGTTCTACTCGCGTAAGTCTCCTTCTACGTGGAAAAAGTGGTAGCTATCAAATGAATTTAAACCATGAGTTTATCCACGCTTGAAGTATTCGTTCTACTCGCGTAATTCTTATAAGTCAATTTAAGTCTTTATATATTTATACGAATGTAAGTTTTGTGTAAAAATATTTTTTATCCTAGTGATTTGCAAACTGTTCAACATAAAATTCTGCATCCCATTTTAAGCCTGATTTTGGTACAAACCCACTTGATCATTAGCAGAACTTTTTGGTTTACAACACCTGTATTGACCACCATTTCTAAAGCAAACCTCACCAGTGGATTGCACAGCACCAGAGTGTTTGATATGTCATATAAGTAGCAGAGAGGTTGATGATAACAAAGAATAAGTGTATGTAGCTGCACTTGTAACAATCTTCTCCACATCAAATAACACAAACAAATGACAGCTTTGAATGGGTGTGCATAAAGGCTCTGAAATAGAGGAGATTAGATGGCCACGTTTTGCTCTTCCAAGGCTATATTAGCTGTCCACTGTCCTCTTAATCCCAAGTCTTAATGATTAAGTAGGGGAATCCATCACCACTCCATTAGTTTATCTGTTCCTGTTGCCATCATAAGGTGCTAAGTATGTGTTTGTCACTGTTCCACCAGTCCTTCAAGCCACTGTTCATCTCTTGGCCTCAAGTCAGCTTCATTCGGCATCCCTAAACAAATCACCTTAACTCGGGGATCGGTCCCTCCTTCAATCCAATCAAACAAAGAATCCAGTTTACCTCGATCCCCGTGCCACCTCACGTCGTGCCACGATTCGAGGATAGCCTAAAGCTGGATTACGTGAATCTTAGCATGTTAGATGACAACAACCCGAGTTAAAAGTCCATGACAAACCACACACACACCAAGTTCTGTCCATTATGTTGATGGAGATGAAGCATAGTTTGCTTTAATGGCTGCATGAGTCGGTCAGTGCAAGCCAACCAGCCATAAGCCAGCATTAAAAGGCTGTAACTTTGAGGGGTGCGATGAATCTTTACGATCGATACCTCCTCACAGTTGGAAATCGGGAAACAGGGAGCAGGGCGTGTCCGGGAGAAGCATGGCAAGCAATCTGTTTGAGGGCTTAACCTTGGTTTGTGAAGAAGGGTTAAGCATGTGAGGGAATCCAACACAAAGCATGCTATAATCTTTTCTACTAAACAAGTACAGTGCTTCGGCCTTTCTCCCAGTGGATTACCAATGCTTATCCTCACAACACTGCAACTCTTTTTTATCTTAATGAGCTTGCTTTGCGCAAGTGGTAAGCAGGAATCAGATTGGCACATGACAAGCTCCTGTTCTTCTTCCTTGTTACGGTTTCATGTCTGTGACTTTTATCTATAAGCTTAAGCAAGCAGTCTCTTGACACACTGGTTTTGGCTCGCTCAGTACATGCATGACAGAGCCAAACAGACTCTTCTCCTCGAGAAGAAAGGAGAAGAGAGATGAATGGAACACATTGTTCTTAAGTAGAAATTATTCTAGTAGGAAAGGATTCAGTTTCCCCCACCTTCATCTTAGTCTACCTTATCCGACAAATAACTAAAGATGAAGAAGACACTGCATATCCCATCAATGAACCTGTCCTGTGAACTGTTTGCTTCACTCATATGAAGTCACCATCCCGACAATGTCTCAACTCATGGCTTCCCCTAATACTTGGGTCATCTTCACCAGCATACTTAATTCAAGTCACTACTTGTGCTGCTGCCAAATCTTGTCTGATATTTCCTGAGAAGTATGATTGAGAAGATGGAGGTGTGGATTACTTCATCTCCACTCATAAGCCGATCCTGCCAACTACAAAAAATGTGCAGTAAAGGTGATGAGCTAGTATTAGCTGGAGGAAGAACACAAGGGCTGCTACAAAAGGCTCCAGGATAAGGACTGTCTCAAAGAGGACATCCGCCTGCAACTCCGCAAGCTTCCCAAGTCTCCATTTCTTCCTTCCTCCACATACAACTGATGTAGCCTTGCTGAGTCCTTCTCACTGGAACAGCTGCAGAATATTCCATGATAAGAAGTGACACTCAGGTAAAAGGAAATTGAACTGAAACATGATTAGATCATGTGTTTTGGAGCTACAGATATGCTGGCTCCTCCCATGTAAACTACTACAAAGCTTCGAGGACACATCCTTCATCAATCAGATGCTTCATTACGAACAGTAACATACCCTCGTGTGGCATGTGAAACTTGCTTGCACATAAACTAAAATCATGATGAACACTTAGTACAATGTTTGACTAAATGATGCCGAATGGAAGTTTGGCACCTGCCTTTGTAAGGATACTCACATATCAGGTTAGATGAGAAGATAAAAACGAGAGAGCTTGATGAGAAGAAGACACTGGAAGCTGCAAGCAAGATGGTAATGGTCATCAGCCTCAGAGGGTACACTTGGAGGGACACTAGATGGCGACACCTGTACACGGATAGAGCGTAGGCGCCCTTCTCGGGACTCCCAAGTTTTGGTGACGCGTGTTGAAGGCGAAAGCCTTTGAGGTGCGTCCCATGTGCACTCCTTTTTGGTGCCCAAAGGCGAAGATATCTTCTTCACCAACCCTTTTAAGCTTGAGTTATCTCTCTTCTCTCCTCGGCCACAGCTCGTCTCATCAATGGCTACCAAAACCATTTTAGCCAGTGATGGGTTCTACTACGGTAGGAAGCCTACACGCGTGTCACATGCATCATAGGCACATAATATTAACCAAGTCATAGGGCATGAGTTCGGCTCAAGACAAAGACCCACGAGGATCCACAGTAGGACGGCCATCATTCCGTACATCATCTTCCGGGGGGACCATTTTTGGCATTCACATGAACAGAGAGAGAGCGAAGGAATATAGTAAGCAGATAGTACTCTTCAAAAGCAATCCACCAAACCCATACTCTTCTAGCTTTCCATCCGATTGAGAGAGACAATAGCTTACGGACTGGAACAGGGAGAAGGGGTGTTGACTCTCTCTCTCGCTCTCGCTAATGGAGAAGAAAGACAGTGGCTTACGGCATGCAATAAAGAACAAGAGGGGTGATACTTTTTGTGACTGCATGAAAACTACCATAAACACTGAGACAGTCAACAATGTCGTCGAAGCAAGACGGTTAGTGGAACGCCGACGACAACCGTATGAAGACCCGAACAAAATGGCAATGGCCATCTCCCAGCTCGGTTTCATCTTCGCACACGCCTCTCCCCATTTTAAACCATGGCATTCATGTCATTCTGGCCATCCTCTGAGGGCTTTTGAGTCTGCCGTCCTCCTATAAGTAAGCCTCGAGACTTTAACAATGGGCATTAGCAACAGTCGTCCTCCTCGTCCTCCTCCCTAGCGTTATTCAAGCTCGTACTACAGTGCTAAGCTAGCACAAGAAAGATTTGGTGTGGCTTTCTTGCTCTGTGACCGCTAAAGAGAGCCCAAAAGCTGCACTGTACACAAGGGAGAATATGAGCGAAGGTGGTGTCAGTCCTGTGGAAGAGAAGATGCTGTTCCCTTCACCCGTAGCGTCCGAACTCTGCTCTCAAATGCCTCAAGGTTTGACTACTGTCCAATGTTCTTCCGTGCCAACTCACGTACTACCATGTACATGTCCAAATCTGTTGGAGGTGATGACGACGTGCGTTGCAAGAGCTAAACGCTTTCTCTTTCGTGGTCTTCCTCAGCGTCGGTAGGCGAGACGAGAACGCGGCGGAGGAGGAGGAAGGCGAAGGGAGACGGAGCGGGAGGAGACGCGAAGAAGAAGCGGCTGAGCGACGAGCAGCTGAAGTTCTTGGAGATGAGCTTCCAGGACGAGAGGAAGCTGGAGTCGGGGAGGAAGGTCCACCTCGCTACCGAGCTCGGGCTCGACCCGAAGCAGGTGGCCGTCTGGTTTCAGAACCGGCGGGCGCGGCACAAGAACAAGCAGGTGGAGGAGGCCTACGCCAAGCTCAAGATGGCTCACGACGCCGTCGTCTTCGAGAAATGCCACCTCGAGAAAGAGGTATTAATCTATTCTGCGGCAGCGGTTCCTTCTTGGATCTTCCTGGTGCTAACTAAGCATATGGTTCTAATTGCAGGTGTTCAAACTGAAGGGGAAGCTTTTGGAAGCCGAAGCGGAGATAAGGAAGCTCTCGTTGGGCGCCAGCGGGCCTGGAGCTTCCGGCAGCAACGCCGAGAGAGGCGGCAGCAGCCCGAGCTCATCCCTGTCAACTGTTAGCCACCATCCATTAGTCGGAGAGTTTGGGGTGGAAGGAGAAGCTGACCTCATGAACATACAAGAGTATAACTTCAATAACTACATGATGGAGTGGGCTAATTTCTATGGTGTGTAAAAGTTATTGCCATTGTTGTCATGATTTATGTGATTAATCCTCACCAGTTAAGGCTCTTCCACTGAATCATTCTCCTCACTGACATCAACAAGAATTTGTAGCTGTAAAGTAAAGCTGCTGTAGGAATCTAATCTTATGTGTAAAAGGGATTGTGTTCTAAGTGTTCAGTTTTGTGAGCCTTCTTATTGTTGTCTCAAACACATCAGGTGGCAAAAGAGGTTTTAATCTCACCAGAAGAGCAATTTTGTAGTTCCAACACAGGAGAACTCTCCTGTAATACATATAACTAATAACTGGGAGTAAGCTTGTAGCATTTATTTGGTGAAACTTAATCTACTGCTGCTGAACTCTTATGCATAAAATGCGATGATGAGTTTTGTAGATTAATTATCATGAAAATGACAGGACTTTCAATGGAAAGGATTGAAAGAGACACTGAGGGGAATGAATCAAAAAAGTTAGCATGGCTGCTACCTTCTTGCAATACTGTTCTAATATCTATCATCTATGATCTTTTCTTTTTATCCTGCAACCTGTCGACTGTCAAATCATGATAACATATGTCAAGTACAATCCTAAAATCCAGCAAGCCATGCAACAGATTTACCAAAGAGTTAAGAACAAATCACCAATATTGAATGCTTGAGTTTATCAATAAGAAAAATAAAACATAATACAGTTACTCAAGCTAATCTTTCACCATGAATTGCAAAACAGTTCATTACATATCTTAGATTTGGTTGCATCCTGCTATAGCTTCAAGACTTTGGGCCAAGAAATAGACATAGAAAGAGAGAATCCTGAGGCATTGCAGATACAATGAGTTCAGACACAAATGTGTTTGTCAACCATGTTCCCACTTGAAACTGTCAAAACATGGTTCAATTAATAGATTAATGAAAATGCAACAGCATAACAAAAGCATTGTTACTGAATCACATCAATATGTCCATCAACGTGATGATATTTTGACCTGTCTGAGCAAGAGCATATGAAGAGCATTGTTCTTGCTTGAGTACCAACAGCCACAATAGTGTCCTGCCATTACAATGATACTCTATCAAATGCTTTCTCAACAGAAACAGAACTCAAAACTTGCCACACAACTCAAGAAATTGACAGGAACCATGCACAACTTTAGTTTATCAAAGATTAGTGCCCACAAGAGTAAATAAAATGTCAAGCAGAAAAGAAAATATTAATGGTTCCATAAAAGAACGCTAATCAAGCATTAATATTTCAAGGAAAGTGGGTTAAGAAGATATCCAAAAATTTGGGTACTGCTTCTATGAAATAATCATACAACAAACCTCAGATGATCAGTGCTACAAAAGTCTCTGTTCAAGTGAGCAACCTAACAAATAACAGAAGCATTGCACATCATTTAGTGATTGCTTTCCTATCCACAACAAGCTTATACAACAAGGTCAAAGCTTATAGCACATTATGGGTAGCCATCTTTCTGTACTAAGATATGCATTCACAAGCTTTCCACCGGAGAAAACTAAGAAACCATCAGGTTTTTTCTTGATCAACAGATCCTGCTATTTTCAGGCATTCTTTATTGGAATGGCACCAGACCTAACTCCCAATATGAAAGGCACTTCTAAATGGAGGTGATAACAGAGAAGCAGCAGAGAAGCGTTTCTGACGCATAGAAATCGAGGACAGACAACTGAAAGCACTCCTCAGCTTCCTCCTCTCACCATCCTTGGTTTGCGGAACTGGGTCATGTTGAACAGCAGTTATCTTAAGGGCTTCGGGCAGTAGGCAGTTGCAGAGGGAACCTGCAGAAAAGTACATCACTAGATAATTTGATATGTCCAGGAAGATTGATAATTGTATGACGAGCTTAGAATAAGAAGAGACTAGATAAAATAGATACGTAATGAGTAACATGCTGCTGATCACAAACAAATGGATACAAAGAGAATAAGACATTTCCAAACTCATAATTTTGACAAATGAAAAATGCTTTCAAACATGAGGTCAGTCTCTGGACATTCAGATAGTGGATAAAAACTTTCCTGTAACATTTAACTAAATGTAAACTAAAAGGAGAATTAGCATATGTCGTTGCAAAAGATGCCAAGAATGTCAAGTCTTTTGAATGCATTTGGATCCTTGTCCACAATAATCAGACAAAATGATTGACAAATTTCTTCAAAAAGATCTTAGGAAACATAAGACTCACAATCCTCATGGAAACTTTAAGCACCTTCGGAGACTTTAAATATGAGATACGTTCTTCAATTACCATGTTTCATCTCTAAGAATCATGTTATTAATGAATCACTATTAAATTGTATCCAGAATCGAAGTGAAATATTTAGTGTGGCACTAACTTAGCTTTCAAGTGATGATAACAGATGTGCTGAAAGTATGTCAGTCATTTGCATGCCATATATTGCAGTTTTAATGGTGATACCTTGTTATCAAAATATGGTCATAAAGTGAAAACCAATATTCTGAGTCATTCAAGAGGTAGATCATTTGAAAATACAAACTCTAGTAGTTCAAGATCACCATAAAATTCTCATAATTATTCTAGAAATAGACTAGCTCGTATTTCGAACAAAAAGTTGTACCTATCCTAGCAAGTCGGTTCACCCATTTTGGAATTGAGTTACCAGTCAAGTTAAAACAGATATCTTGGCAGAAATGGTTGCAGTTCTTCGTGATCAAGTGGTAGGTGTCTCCATTATAATTTACAGACTGAATTTCCATGAACTCTCGAACCTGAAATGGGTCTAAACATGTTGTACCCATGAATATTGATTTCCTGAACCTGAATCCTGGACATTGATGAGGCTCAACCTCAAAGACTCCACTTGTTGGATAGTCATGTGCGCCAAATGCATATTCCACCCCATGAACTGCAAGAATATATATAGATATATTAAGAATGAGGGTTAAAGTCATATTAGTGCATGACAGATAACTGATTTTATCATAAGAATGTAAAGACAAGGTAAAATAAAGGAGACTACTAACCCCACAAAATTGACATGGAAGTAATAATTCAACTACCAATTTGTTATAGTAATCAAACATCAATTTTTCCTCACAACTATTAGTATTTATATAAGACGTAAGTTTTCTTAACAATCTTTCATGTAAAAAAAGAAAATAGCAACATTTGTGGGCCCCTGGTCTTAGGGGGTCTGTTGATCAGCAGATGTGACCATTCTGACTAGAAAAGAAGGCTTGCAACTCCACAGATGAGCACCAAAAGAGAATTCCTAGTCTCACAAAAAAAAGGTGACTTACAGTTGGCCAGCCTATGCCAATACAAGTCAGACAAGGAAAAGAGGGTGGATGAAATACTAAAACCACACATGCCTAAATAGACCATGGACAAGATCTGAGTAAGGATCTGTTAAGGCTAGTCGAAAACTCAAGTATCAGGTTTTTAGCTGGTTTCAAGGATATTTTGGTTAGCAACATAAATCTAGCCTATTGTGGTTAGGATCAGGGATTGATGTCCCTATAGAAATGTCATGAAAAGCCACTTACATTATACTATGGGGACTTGTTTTTCTCTCCTAATTTTCCAGCAACAAGGCTGCTAGTTTCTCTAGTTTGGCACCTTATTGCCTTTCTCCTCCTCGAATTGGAGAAATCCGATTACGAAGGTCTAATACTAACACATTCATGTACTTGTTTCCATCTTAGAAAAACTTCTTGAAACTATCACCCATGGAAGTAGCCCTACTGGTCGGACCACATAAATACTGTCTGTTGTCTCTCTTCCTCTCCTCTTTTCTCCATTTTTCATGTCCTCCGTGCTTGGGTCCTTGCTACAATGTAACTTCTAGATTGACAACACAAAAACATCTTCATCGACTATACTTACTGAACATATGGTGAGCTGATAGAACTAATTTGATTGCTTAAAGAAATAACAAATATAATACAATGCCCATAAGCAGCCTACCTTCTAAAAAGAAAAACAGCTTACAAATGTTCATGCAGCTAAGCATAAGTAAGATCTTTCACTATTCAAATCTCAAACGGGCAGCTCTTCAATGATAGGCATGTTTAAAATTCGAAAGATATCATTGCAAACAGGCAGCTCTTCAATGCTTCTCATTAGCTGCCTGTTAAAGATTTGGATGGTAAAAATTCTTATAATTACTTTTATACAACATCTGCTCCTTTGCACAAGCATTTATAAGATGCTGAAGATTCTTTTAGTAGGTATGATGCTTATTGGCACATACATCGATAAGCTGCTGAAGAAAACTGTACCTTCAACACCTGTGTGAAATATCCCAAGGCCTGCCCAGTACATATAGCCATTAATTGGTGTCAAGTCATACACATTTAGATAAACAGGTGCATTTCCTGATGTTCTGCTGGCCGATCGAACCTTTGAGAACATACAAAACCGATTGGAAGATCTCTTATTTAGCCGAAGAGGTAACAGGGATTTCCAAGCCTTTTTGTAGCCTGACTTCATGTTCCTTCATGTGAAAAGAGAGAGAGAGAAAGGTTAACAGACTATCAGAAAATAATAGAAACATTAATTGTTAGATGGGTTATTCTGTCAAAGAGCTGACGAGAAGAACCACGCAGAAATTTCTCAATGCTTGTTTTCTCAAAAGTAATTCTGATAACTTATATCAAATTAGCATCATTTGAATTGCAAGAACAGCAACAAATATTGCCAAGAGCAAAGGAATGCTAGGAAAACGAAGTAAAAGAAAGAAAATCATTTGTTCCAAGGGAAAGAGACGAAAAGAATTATTAAGAAGATGTTTATCCGGGAGGAACAAAAAAACAACAAATTAAAGGCAGATACTTGATTGATTCAAGCTAAGGAGCATTAAAGTCCATACGTTATCACACTAACAATACAAGATATCGCCGGCATATAAATGGCTCGAAACAAGAGGAAAAAATAACTCCAGCAAACCCGAGCAATCGAAGAATAGATCAACTGGTAATTAACCGTAACCCTAAGCAATGAAGAACGACTCGAGCACTTAGGAGAAAAAGCGCATAACTAAAGTAGATAAGCAAAAACCGTGCCCTGATTTATATGGTCGGGAAGACCTAAGCAACACAAAACCCCGTCCGATAAGTGGCTACTAGATAGATGTACACTGCCAAAAAAAGGTGGGAGAACATTATCTCTCGAGGCAGCAATCGAAGCACACAAGAATTAAGTTTTTACATTTATTGAACTTTTGACAAACCGCACGTACGTTTGCTAAAAAGGCGATCTTTATTCCACGACTGGCTCACAATAAAACCTAGTTTACCCTGAAATCAAGAAGAATCTACCTACATTTGGAAGGTGAAGACAAAAAGAAGAACCAAAAGACCAAATATTTAGCTACATCCGTCCGAAATCCCTTGAAACAAAAAATGATCTCTTACAAGATTTTTCAAACGAGTAGCTCGAGAAAGGGTGAGCCAAAAGAGGTTGTTGAAACAGAGGGGAAAGAGACGGACTCACCCTGCTCCAAGGAAACCCCCGGGATCAAGTCATCGCCCGCGACAGCCCACGAGGTAAAGGCGGCATCTTGAGAGACGGAGGGATCACCACCGGCCCTCCGCCGCGACACCAATCATGGGGGGGTGGGGAGACGGGAGAGATGTCGAGAGATTTAATTGCGGGGTAGAGATCTGCGCCTCCTCCGGTAGGTGGGCTTGGCTTGGTCCGGGGGGATCGCTCGCAGTGCTGCTGCGGTGGTCTCAGGAAGAGAGGGCAAAGCTTGGCCCCCGTCTGCCTGCCCGCTGCTGCTGTCGTTGTTGCGCAGTAAAATAAAGGAGGGACAGCCTGCCCTCTCAAGGAAGGCGCGCTTTTTCCAATGCTTTCCGACGACAACAAATGTGTGTTGATGGGAGAAAGAAGAGATACCACCGTATGCCAATAAAAAGATGAAAAGCTCAAAGGTGACCTTTTTGTTCCCTTACTGGCGTTATTGATATTATTGTTAGTCATTAGGGGCTATTTGATTCTGTGTTTGTCAGGTTAATTACATACCTTATCCCAAAGATGAGTGGGTGAGTGCACATTAAATGACACGGAGTCGCTGGTCCATCCAAAGATTTCTCCCTCTTTAAAGCCACACCTGCTTCTCCTCCAACTCCTCCTCCTCCTCCTCCTCCTCCTCCTCCTCGGCGGATGGATTCACTCTCATTACTGGCCCTCAAATCATTTTCACAGCACCTGTTTGTCCACAACCCCAGGGAGGGGTTGTATCATCCATGTTCTCTGAGAGCTAAAAGACCTACCACCTACCTCACCCCCTCTTTGTCCTTGTGCTACTTCAATGGGCAAGCAAACATCAAGGTACAGTTGCATTGCATGTGTGGCCTGCATGCTCCTAAACAAAGACTTTTTATCTTGAATGAAAACTTTGCCAAATTATCATATTAGAATGAATGAGACACAAGGACAAAAAGAAACACCGTTTTGTTACCATATCTCACACAAGATCCCCTCTGAAACATGGGATGAGGTGTAAAGAGTTTATGCAATCAGAACCAGGAGATATATTAGACTTTAATGATCCAAACATGATAAACATTTCAACAACTAATCATGTGACTCGTCTCAATAATCCTGATATTGTTTCCAAAAAATATGATTATGAAGATGTATGCTTAGATCATACTGCGTAGCCCAGAATAATAAAAAGACCTTTCTACAAGTCAAGTCTTTCGATCCATTTACTCATCTTACTAGCCATAATTTTTGTTTCAAGGTTCAAGCCTGTGAACGAAATGACAAATTCATTTGCTAAAGGGCTAAGAGTTATTTTATGGGTAAAGATTCTGCATATGGTGGTAGCGCTAATGAGAAAAACATAAATATATTTGTTCAGAATAAATAACCAATCCATCTATAAATTTTGAAAGAACAAACATGTAGATGTGCCGTGTTGGCACACCAGAAAAATAGGAAATGTATATGGCCAAGCGTCAAAAGACATTAGTAGCTGAATTGAACTGATCCCATGCCTCCTGCAAGGAGAAAAAGAAACAAATCAAATTTGTATTTAAGCAAAAAAGAAAACATACGATGGTGTCAATCAATTTCAACCATCCACGTCATTTATAATATCAGAAAAGGACAGTTCAATTATAAATCATTTAACTATCTAAAGGGACATTCTTGCTTGGCTAGTGTGAAGACTTTATCCTGCAGCTAAACAACTTATTGGCAAAATT